CCCTTACCTTGTTGAAGGCGGCCGTTGGCGGGCGACGGCGGGGTCACGCGCGATGGTGGGCATTGGCAGGTGCTGGCCGGGTGCGTCGAAGAAGCGTGAAAGTTGCGCGTTGAAGGCCGGCGGACACACAGTGCTGCAAGACAGGGAAGGGGGGACGTCGGGGGCACATCTTCAGCACGGGTGAGGGAACGGAGGCCAGTAGTTCCCGCCCTCACCGATTTGAAGTCGGTGCAATCCGGGCCGTCGATCTTCGAGATCGACGATCCAGATGGGGCCCGATTTCAAATCGGTGAAATCGGACCTACCGGCCCTGTTTTTTTTTTCTTTTTTTTCCACGGTCCACACAGTCTATGAAGGGCGCAAAAAGGGCCCCAGCGACGAAAAAAAACAAACAAACCTAACCTACAGTGATGGGCTGGGGGCGCCCGGTGGCCAACCAGGGGGGACAACCGGCCAGGCGGCCCGGCACCCCCCCCGGACGACGGCCAGGCCGCCAGGCGGCCCGGGGTCCAGCCTAGGAATTTACAAAAAAAACGAATTTGTGCAGAAGGAATTTCGAAATTCAGAAGGAAGTGCAAGGAACATGAATGTGGACGAAGCACATAAATCCCAATTGCAAATCACCATGAAGTCCAAGTAGTCAAAGCAAGAGCAAATAACACATCGGAACCAGGCAACCATCCATTTGAGAACGATACAGCAAAAGTCGTGAGTCAATGTCCAAGCCCAATCGGGCAACACCAACAACATAACCCGAAGTAGCCCTCTCTCTTGAATGGTGCCAGGCGTCCTATCTACTCAGCCTATCCTACAACTACAGTCATGGAAGCAACCAGACGACTTGACGACCAGCTAGTGATGATGTCAACACCAATGCCGACCTCCTCTTCCACCAGGTACGTCACCACAGTCAATGCAAGCACCACGCACTCGGCGGTCCCACCACACTTCCTGATCCAGACCTGATTTAACCCAATTCGCTACTTTGGACTGATTGAAGGCGACCTGCCCTTGACTCTTTTGATGGCCGCCTTTACTGTGGCCACCAGCCTTTGCCCTGACTACTGCGGCGATGGTGCTAACCTCGGCGATTTCCTCGCCGTCGTACTCTGGACTGTCCATCACGTCGGTAAGTTCTTCGATTTCAGTTTGAGTCCCATTAGACTCAACCATCATCAATCTACTACCCTTCTTTTTCCACTCCTGTGGACTCTTCTTCTTCCTCCCGTCTACTGGAGTAGGTTGAGCACTTCCTAGAGTAGCCTCTAAGTCTAAGGCCTTTCTAGAGAAGGTCTCAAAAGAATGATACTCGAGGTGAGCCTCGCTGGCCAGTAAGGTTATGACACTCTCGGGTAGACATCTCAGAAACATGGTCAATAAGACCTGGTCATCATAGCGTATACCGGGAACGACGATAAGGTTCTCTACGGTAGACGTCAGCTCTCTGACAGACTTGTACCTTCGCTGGTCCAGTCTTAGCATCGCATCAGTGGCAATTTGGGCCTGCTGCGGATTATGCCAGCGAGCATCTACCATATCTAAGAACTCTTCTAAAGTAAGGGTTTTACCCCAGTCTGCCATGCGTTGTCCGAACCCGGCCTTAGCTACTATCCCATCCAGCCATTTGGCTGCCTTACCCTCGAGGTAAGATGCAGCAGTAATCACCTCCTCCTCCTGCAACGTCCTCTTTGCCCTTACCCACATCGGAACCGTCCTCAACCAAGTGTTGAGTTCCTCGACCTTCTTTTCACCGGAGAAAGCAAGGGGTGGCTTCATCGGGGCCTTTGGGTACCATGGACTTTGCTGCTGTCCCTGAGGTGGAACAGATTGTTGCGACTGTGGTGTAGCTCCAGCCGCTGGATCAGAAGAAGAAGAAGCAACAATCTGTGCGGCTGCTGCAGACGTAGCACTTGGCTGTGCCAGCTTGTACCGGAAAGGGGCCTGACATCGCCGTTAACGGCAACGGCGACTGTGCTGCTGGCCGTAATCATGGCCTTTGCAAAAGGTCCAAGATTTGGTCCAAGGAGTTCTGCATGAAGTCCAGCCTGCTGTCCACATGCGCATGCAGTGACAGTATGCTGAACCTTAACACTTTCATTGCGTCAGACAATGCTGTCTCATCCAACTCCTCTAATGCAACTTTGTCTGCCTCTAACGTATCTAGCCTTGCTGTTCTATTTTTGATCTAGTTTTCTCTATCGGTTGCTTGCTTCAGTTCCCTCTCTAACCGTGTGCGGATCCTCTCGACTTGTTGGAGCTCTAGTAGCTCTCTGCCGCGTGAGGTCAACGGACTGAACTGCGAGCCCGCCATTTGACTTGTGGACTGACTGGTACCTACTGATCCGGAAGTACCCGTGGGCCCAGGGCGCATCCCCAACTGGGTCCCGGACGAGGATGCAGCAGAGGATGCTGCTGCGGTAGCCATTGCTGCTGCACTGGCTGCTGCTGCTGCCTGTTCCCAGACGAGGATGCTGCAGAGGATGCTGCTGCGGTAGCCATTGCTGCTGCGCTGGCTGCTGCTGCTGCCTGTTCCCTAGCTGCGGCGTTTGCTGCTGCCAACGCCTTACTTGCAGCTAGTGCTGTTTCCCTCGCTGCTGCATAAGCACGAGCTCTGACTTTAGTTTATTTTTGCATATCGGCACGAAACCGCCTTTCGTCTCCCCTCCGTAGGACTTGAAACACGCGCGGGACCCTAAGCGATCTCAAACGTGTCAGCCTCGCATCGTCAACTCTACCCTCATCGGCGTCTGACCCACTCATCAGCTAGGCAAACACTATCTGCACTACAACTCCCTGTTGGAGTCCTACCACGGCATGTGTCTGGCCGACACCTAATTTTCTAAAAATAAATGTGTCCGGCAGCTCCCCTACTCAACCGATCAAGTAGCAGCCTACAACATTCACAAAGACTGTAACATAATCTAATTTTATCCAGATTAGCTCACTTACAAAAACTTTGCATAGAACTCGATATGGTAGTATACTACAGTCCGAAACTAAGCTGTTTGTGAGGTGTTAGCAGTCTGTCAACCAACTAATCATAAATAAAACTAAATTATGTTGCAGATGTATGAATAGTGGATATGGTTGTGTTTTCAGTTGAGCACTAATTGGAACCTACCCTCCCCTCAATCCAACATACCGATCATCATCATTGAGCAACCGTGTCATAGGTGTGCAATGTCGGCCCACCCCTGTGCCCCAGGTGCATGCTTATGACCAGGCTTGCCCGTTCTTTATCCTCGCATGCAACGAGCCTTACGTACGACTGATCTGGCTGATCAACAGGCTTATTTAACGACTGCCCCCAGGGTCGCTCAGGAATTATTTAACGTCGCAATTAGGACGACGATCACAGCCAGTGGACAGATCGGAACCCCATCCAGAAATGTTTATAGACGGTCTAGGAGCGTCTGCATAAGCCTGTTCAGTCTGCACACCCCTCTATCAGCGCAGCAAAGAGCCCCAATGGACAAAGCACCATCGCATGTGTGTACTAATCCCATTGGGTTGGCATGGTGACCGTGACCCATGTGCTTCGACCAGGGCCCTTCAGAGGCACCGCCCTTTCTCCTTCCAGATGCACCACGGGGAAGATTGTCTTCTCTCAAGGAAGAGCGCTCACAACACCTCACCAAAATAGAGGACTCTCGAGTTGGACTCACTTCTTCGCGGTAAGAAGAGATTGAGAGGGTAGATTAGGTAAGGGAACAACGTACCTGGAGATAGCTTCCCCCAACCACATATTTATCACCAATTGAGCCAAATGTGCATTTGATGACCGGTCGTAGCCTCGGTACCACCCACAATGCAATGCAGTGCCACCTCAGCCAAATGCCACATCACCATGCTCCCATCACCATACATACATTCTGTCGTCACCACGGCATCCCAAGCCGTATAGCCTTCCGGCGCACACCTCGCTACCCAGGTCGTGCGCCTATTTTTGGCCCGACGACACAAGAACCAATTGAGAAGAAGCATCGTCAACGAACCAAGTCTGTATAACGCCGGCGCACCTAGGTAAACGGCGAATCGAACCAGCTCCGATACCAAATTGCAAGGAACATGAATGTGGACGAAGCACAGAAATCCCAATTGCAAATCACACTGAAGTCCAAGTAGTCAAAGCAAGAGCAGATAACACATCGGAACCAGGCAACCATCCATTTGAGAACGATACAGCAAAAGTCGTGAGTCAATGGCCAAGCCCAATCGGGCAACACCAACAACATAACCCGAAGTAGCCCTCTCTCTTGAATGGCGCAAGGCGCCCTATCTACTCTACAGCCTATCCTACAACTACAGTCATGGAAGCAACCAGACGACTTGACGACCAGCTAGTGATGACGTCAACACCAATGCCGACCTCCTCTTCCACCAGGTACGTCACTCTCTCTTGTCCCTCACTC